TCCTTGCTGTTGGCTTCCCGATCTAGTACAATTTTGCTAATCACCTAATTATTTAATGCTTGTCACAGACTTTAGGCATTTTTTGGACACTTTTGCCCTCCCTCTTCAGCGTCTTTGCTCTGAAGAGAAACTTTTCCAAAAAAAATTAAATGTTGTCATTTTGCAACAGTGTACATTTTCCTTCCATCTTCAGATCTGAAGCAGCTGATCTTCCCAAGTTTTTACATAAAATAACTCTCTTAATAAATTCAGCTTAAATGTAGGTTACAAAGATCAAACATAGCTTAGGCTAAGGAGTGTGGAGCTACGTTCCACTTTTTTAGGAAAGATATCTCCTTGTAACAGTACTAGGAAGGCTGCAAATACAAAAGTTTGTCCACACTTGTTGTGCATGTATGACTTGTAAAAAGCAACTAAAATTTTGTATTTTAACTGGTGGTTCAATTTAGACACAAAGAAATAAATTGTCCTTGACAGCCTACAGTAGCATAAGATACAGAGGAAAATTTTATTTCCACCTACCTCAATCTATTTTTTATTCTCCATGGTTTTTTTTTAAGTACATGTTTTTTACATTATACTTTGAATGTTTTAACTGACTTGTGATGATTTACCTGGAAAACTTGCTTATTCATAGACATTTAAGCAATCTGAAAACACAGACTAAYGCGTTCGCCAGTATTTGCAAGTCCACTGCGACCATCCTGCAGTCCTTMAAATGCTGCAATTCTTTTTCCAAAGCATCTTGTGGGTGGTGCTTCAGGTTTTTTGGTTTCCCCCCACCCAAAGAAGCAGTTCATTATTTCTCTCTCCAAATACCTTTTCCAGGATCAAAATTACTCAGCCTCCACCCACCAAATACACAATTCATCAACAAACCTTCAGACTGTGACCATTCCAGCACTCTTGAATAGGACCAAGTTTTCAGAAGGGAAAACAGGTTTAAACTTGCAAGTTGAACACTCTATTAGGAAACACTTAAACTGAGGCATTGATATGAATATGAGTAGAGGGGAAAAACAAAGAAAAATCATTGTTTGGAAAAAAAGTGTCACCCCACTATCTTAGCATTGCTAAAAGTACTGTACTACATTTTTGATGCATCCTAATCAAATGTCATTTCTCACTGTCAACATTTTCCTCTTTAATCAGCTTCTCCTTTCTGGGCACTTTTTCCAGATTGTGCGGATCTTTTCCTATTCCCAGATGTTTGACACCTTGTTTTTTCTTCCTTATATTCTTGTCTTTTGTTTTCCTTTGGCCAAGCCTGACTGCCCTGTCGTGTGTACAGCTCAGGGAACAACTCAGAGCTCCAGGCCCCGTTTATTCTCCTCAAAGCACACGCACATTGCAGAAACCGGGCTCTTGTGCATGGATTCTTCTTCTTTTCACCCGTAACAGAGCTACAGCCTTTTGATTATAATTATTTTTGTGTTTCAGGAGCAAGAAAGGGAAAAATAATGCTCCCCTAAATGACCTAACTCATCTACAAAAGGATCTTTTTGATACATCTCAGCTTCTCATTTACATCAAGCAGGTGAGCCACAAAAGAGAAGTTAGTTGTGCTCTCCATTCAGCACTAACAATAAGAACAGAAACAGCACAATATTTAGGGGGTGGGAGAGCATTTTCACTGTATATTCACTTCTGCAGTGTAAGCCTTTAGGCAAGCACAGGACTTCAGTTTTATTACAGGAGCCAATACTAATCAATCGTCCTACTCTGCCAAGCCAGGATGCCTTAAGAACATATGAGTACAAAATAAAATACCTTTCTTTCAAGTCTTAGCCCATATGCTTCTGTGGATGCTATTGTAAGGCAGACATCGGAATCAGCTTTAGAAACAAGATCGAGGGGAGAAAAAAAAAATTACATTTCCTGCAAAACGTAAGAGCTTAAAGACTCTTTTCATGTAACCTGCAGTTAATGCACTTGTCCTTAATAGAGGTACTTCCATAATGGGTAATTTGTTAAGGAAAAAGCAGAAGTTAGTTAAAATGGTAACAAATTAGGAGAACGGATTTCCAATCAGTATAATATCTAGACAAAATACCTAAAATTCCTTCATGTCTCCCAAATGCCTCCCTGAGGTGGACCACAAAGGAGAGTAAAACTTATTCTAAAACTATTTTTTGTGATGCAGCTTCAGCAATCTGTACCTAACAGAAGCTTAAAAAAAAAAAAAAAAAAAAAANAAAAAGGGATATTTTTGGTCAACATGATTTGTAGCTTTCAAACCAGCAACCACACTGTAATAAATTACCACTAAAAAGTAATTGGAATCTGTGGAAGAATTGTTTGAAAACGGGAACTGAGAGGAAAACTAGGGCYTAACAGAAGTTTTGGCATTACAGGAGCTTGCTCGGGGTGAGACACAGTTGCCCCTTCCAGGACRGCTGGCACGCATGGACTCGGCTCCTCCACGGTGCCTCAGCTCCACAATCTGCCCCCTCGCAGCTGCGAAGGSGRGTAACGGAGGATGGAGCGGAGTRAAGACCCCGCGGCCAAGCTCTGCTGCACTCCCTGTGCTGATAAGCCGCACAGCAGCTGTCCAATGGGAGATATACGATAAAAAGTCCRGTGCTGAGCCAGAAAAGTGGCAAATCACTCCTTTTGGATGAACTTTGCTGGAACTTTGCTCATTATACGCTCATTATAATTCCAAAACACATTTCCATCCCAAAAGCTACCCGCCTCCAAGGTACGACCACCCCTCACTGAACATGCGCTCTAGATTTTCCATTGACTCTACCTTTAAACGAAAGCAAGAAACTTTTTCACCAATCAATAACAATATTAAGTATGACTCTAGTCACTCAAGTTCTACCTGAGCGCAAAGAAAAGTACAAAAGGTGAACTAAGGATGAAGAACTTGGAGGGAAGAATCCATTGTAACTCTTGGGTCTTGGGCTAATCCTGCTTCCCTCCCTTTGGGCTGAGACGTGGCCTGAGAAGACTAAGAACTTGGAGGAAAGAATCCACCATAACTTTTGGATCAGTCAATGCACTGATCCCYCTTTCCTCCCCTCAGACTGGAACATCACCTGAGAAGACTAAGAACTGAGAGGGAAGAATCCATCTTAACTCTTGGATCAGTCGACAGGCTGATCCCCCTTCCTTCCCCTCRGGTTGACGCCGCCTGAGGAGACTCGAGACCGAGAGCCCTCTCCCATCTCCTGGGGTGAGTGATGATTGCACATTTGTACATCAGGGCTAGCTACAAAAACCCCACGCTGTAGTAGAGAATTTCCTGTACTGACATCCAAAACCTGCTTTATAAATGTTGCATTTGAATAAATCAAACTGTTTGTGAACTCAACTAACTTGTTTGGGGGGAGGTGATCAGACCTACAGTTGACAGACTGTTCATGAATCCGACACTGCCAGAATTGAGCTTATAGTGGATGATGCTATTTGGGAGCTCAGTTCGCTCCTAGGAAGGCAATCAGACCTACRTCTATGGACTGTTTGTGAATCMGATAYTGCCAGAATTGAGCTTATAGTTGATCGCACCATTTGGGAACTCAATTCGCTCCTAGGAAGGCGATTGGACCTACGGTCCACAGACCGTTCGTGAACCCAATACTGCCAGAATTGAGCTTAGAGTTGATGACGCTATTTGGGAACTCAATTTGCTCCTAGGAAGGCGATCGGACCTAGGGTCCATGGACTGYGAATCCGATACTGATTTGATATCTCCTTCCCCCCATCCCACCACCACTACAGCTTTCAAACTGCAACATTTCACAGTATCAAATTCACAGTATGAGAGCAGTACATAGTCCTGCTATTAAAATATAAAATGCCCACAATGGTTTCCTCCTCTCAAAGGATATTACTCTTACTCTCAAGTAACAGTTATTAAAAGAATCCACACAGGAATTAAGAAAGGAGAAAAGCAGAGCCTAAAAATACCTGTTTGAGCATCAGCCACAGAGGACAGAGGCTGCAAATTGTCATTAAGAATGTTTTCCTGTTGCCTGAGTCTCGGCTGCTATTAGACCTGGACACAGGCAAACAGAGCCTCTGCAACACAGTGGTTCCCTAAAGGATTTACTAATACTTTAAATGCTTAGTGCTACGCTTAAYAAACCCATAGGTAAAAGTGAAGAATGTTTTACACAGCTGTTGGCACGTGCAGTCTGCAATATACATACCCACACATATATTTATATCGAGTTAAATTACTTCAGAAAGAGGAAAAGCAGCACGTTGAATGTTGAATTTTGCAGGGAATAATGGAGATCTCAGTTGATTCTCAGAGGCCAAGAATTCAGATTTACATCTTTCACAGAAAATCATCATATAGGAAAATATTTATARCTACCATCTATCAAAAGTATATTAAGATCACTCAGTATATTGAAGTACTAAGACTCTTTTCATTTTTAAACAGCAAGAGCTTTATGGAATTATGAGACTTCGTGCAGGAAATAAGCAATATTTTACAAAGCTGATGGCAATAGTCCTTTGAACACAATTTGGAAGGAAAAAAAGCAAACACACACACACACACACACACACACACTCTTAAGGCTGAAACACTCTACAAAAATAAATCATTTTTAAAATACTAAAACTTTACTGAAAAATATCCTGGAATATCAATTTGTTAGCTCTCCCTCTCCCTACTCAATCCCTCCAATGATTAAGTGCATTTGTGATAAAGAAAAACTCTACTCCTCCACACTTTCCAAATCTTCTTTAATTCAGTGGATTCTGTCATGTAAATGGACTCTACAAATTTTCCTCCAGAACACTAAAAGTAAAGTAAATTAAGTACCACCTCAAGTGGTCCCGCACCACCTCAAGTTTTACACCATAAAGACCATTATGTTTAAAAATGGTAACAAATCTATTAAAAGTAATCTGCAAATTACAATATAATTTAAAGTCTAGCAATGTGAATTTACCAATAAACTGACAAGTTGAATGAGTATTTTCATCCCAGTGCAAGATTCACAAATCCATAAGGGAGTGCTCAAACCAGCCAGGCTGCCTCTCTTTCTAATGCACCACCATCCAGATCAGTTTTAAACATGAAAGGTTCTGAAACTATTGCAATATTACCCAAAACATTCAAGCTCTTGGTTCTTGAGGTGACATAATCAATAATGAATTTGGGAGAGAAGGAACTGAACTTTATCTCAGCACACTAACAAAAAGTGTGTGTACGGGTATGTTTCTGACTCAGATGAGGAAATTAAGATCAGAATTAATACAAATTACATCCCTGATGAATAAAAAAATACCATTTTTAGGGTTTTTGTAGCAGACATCGTGCAAGAACCTACACTCATGCCTTCTCTTAAACAAAGTATGGGAACATTTCRGTATTTGGAGTGATGCTTCTGCTCTGCAAAGTGCAGACTAACTTCACTCATTCATCACTAACTCCAGCATACCAACCATCTACACCACATTTCCCCTCTCCACTAACCCCTACAGCAAGAACACTTGCCCATTTTCATCCCTCTTATTCATACYTCTAAAATTGTCATTCCAGAAATGTTAAAAGTGACTATTCAAATTCAGAAATCTGTTTAAATATTCAAGGAAGAAGGTATAAGGAGATGCATTACCAGACTCCAGTGCTTTCCATGAACGAGACTAAGAGCAGCAGAGTGCACGGCAAGATGAGATGAAGCTCCCACAGGCCGGAGGGTGGAGAGCACATACATCATTTATAATGTGCTAAAATATCTCTTATTTATTTGAGACAATACATTTGCAATTCACCTTTAAACTCTTTCACTAATCGCATTCCGGATCTTCATCAGGCTTATGTATGCTAACTAGTTCTACAACAGGAGAAAACCAGATAAATGCAGCTTTCTTTTGGATTAGCCATGAGCAGCTAAGACGCTACAAAGAAGTCACTATCGAAAAGGAATTACGGACAAGGGGACTGAAAAGCCCCCTCATCCACAATTCCAGGGTGTGAAGTCTCAAACAAATAAATTAAGGAATGTTATTCTACTTGCATGCAAAGTGCTCTGCAATTTGCATAAGGCGTGCTAGGCTAGGTGTGCCATTCTAAATTCCTAAATTCTTACAGTTCACTGGTGGCATTTTATATAAAAAATATTGCAAAGCATTTAATCAAATCCTCACATAATGGTCTCCACAAATACTACTTGCTGCAATGCTTGTAACTTAAGATTAACAAATTATTTTTTCAATACTTGTTTCATATCAGCACTTCTCTCAGCAAGTCACTCATTACATTACACAGCAACTGAGTCACTAGGAGGCTCTTATTGTGACCTCTCACCCACGAGCAACTTCCATTTTACTGAAGTATTTTAAAGTGCATAAGGAATTTTCCTCATAGTTGCCTGTTATTTCATTTATATTCCAATTAACAATTTTCCATTGAATAAAGTCTGTAAATACAGATCATTGTTAAAATGCTCGTTTTCAAATAACCTGCTATAATTTGAGTGCCTAATGCAGAAAGTCTTATCCTAGAAACCTGGTTTATATAGTGCTTTCAAACTTACAAACTCTAGGCACTTCATCTTCGGATTGCTGAGGGTAACTGGTTTTACTCTCCYAGATAAGCAACACTGATTCTTAGAAAAACAAAACAAAACACAACACACGCAAAGCAAGCAGTTGAGAACTCAGACTACAGGTAATGTATACAGGCAAATAAATTAAAAATACAATGTATTCAATTCTGTTTAATTATAAATATTTCTAATACATTTTTTTTACTATTGTAACTTCCAAATATGTCTCTAGCAAAGACCATTTCTGGCAATACAGCCTATTAAAAGTATAAAAAGCCAAAATGCCAGGTAAAGTCCTGTCATAAATATCTCCCAGATTACATCTGAAGATATTTACAAATAAGAAACAAAAATATGCTCTTAGGGGAAAAAAAAGGAAAAAATTAACAGAGGAAGTTCACTGAAATTTCTATGCAATAATTTCTTCACAGTAACTCATCATATTCTGGCTAGTCACACAGAGTTGGATCCATTAAGGAAGAAAAAAGCAAAAAAATTCTTTTGAAGTGCTGTTGTGAACTGCCACAGGGACAAAAAAGCAGATTTCCAGGTCATGGTACTTGAGAAAAGGCCAGTGCCCACTAGAAGGAACTTATCTAAGAGAAAAGAAAAACTGTGAAACAACTACATAGTTGGAAAATAACAACTAATTTAAAGTTGGCAGGTTCCACTGGAACAAAGTCTTCCTAACTAATCTTAATATCTCCCAAGAACCTTTAATGATATCTTGAAAGAAGCTAACGAAGTGCAAACTGATTGCAGAGGGACACAAGGGAAAACTAAGCGTGTTCTCTATCTTCAGGCAGTAACATTTGCCTAACTGAACCTCAAGTCTCAAGTTCTGCATTGCAGTAAATTCACGCAGACAGATTCTCTTGTGGAAATTAAATAAAGTAGCTTTTTGAAATTGATTTTGCCATAGAAATATTTGCCTGCGAGCCTCATGTTCTCCCGGACAGAGCGCTAAGGGAGCGGGCAGCCCACAGGCAGGGTAAGCGAGGTATGTGCTGCGCTCACTCCAGTCTTGGAAGCTCTTCGTCCCTTCTCACAACTTCTTTCCCAAATGGTGGCAACCTAAAGGCTTCTTCCATCAGGTCTATAGTATTTCCAAATCCACATGACGAACATCAGGATTTCGTTGCTGCGGAGAATAAAGACGAATATATATTTTTATGAAAAGTGTTCAAACACATATTTGCACGTGCATACAAATGATGGATTTCTAGCATAATATTACAAGCTAAATAACAAATTCCAATTTCTGGTAACATAAGGACTATTTTAAAATGAAATATAACTTCAATAAGCATATCCCATACCATAAGCCATCTAGAGGACTAAGTCTCAATTTATTTGACAAATACCTTTCAACTTCACAGCTAAATTAGTTCTTATGCATTAAAAACCATGAAGCAGCTCTTTTGATTTAACAAGACAATTAGTTTTTATATAAGACTGTCCAAATAAAAGTTTTAAGAAAAGTTTTATCAGGCAGGCACTTCCCTGAATACTGGATAACTGCCGAAATCATTTGTTCCATGGCACTGGAGCTATTTACAAAGATGCAAAATATTGTTTCTGCTAAGAAATAGACATCTTTTGATATGGCAGAAATGTTATGGTCATTACACGGGCTGTACAACCCATGTGATGTTTTAAGTCACTGACTTCAACATCATCTAGCATGGAGATCTGAGCAGCATATTTAGTGAAGCACATTCAACAGCAACASACCACTGAAATCCCTAGAAATCCCCAGAAAAAGGGGAAATCATGTCTGAAATCATCAGCCACGAGCCTGTTGCTTACAAACTATGAAGAACTAGATCTCCCGATACAACTATACTCAAAAACATTTCATTTTTAAACAGCATCACTCTGGGGAGATGAAATTAAGGGCTGAATATTTTTCAAAGATTCTACACTACAGCCAAGGTCAGTCTCTTGAGCGGTGTCTCCTGATGAAGGCTAAAGGCAGTCACGGGAGGGCGGCATTTGTCTGGCAATCAGGACGCTTCAGCTCTGTTTGCACCCTGGAAAATCCTACAGAACTGACCTCAACCGGTGAAAATGTTTGTTAGACCACATGCCTTGCAGCTCCACGTAAGGAAAATGCTTAATCGTATAAGARCAAGGCAATGAATTCCGTATTTTTGTAAAGAAATATAAAACTGGAATGCCTACTACGGAAAAGTATAAAAATACATGAATGTTTTCGTCAACAACTTTTTGTGAGGTTTAGCATCCTCAGGTGATGCAGTGTTGTTCACTTGGCTGGTCAAACACAAGAAGGCAGGGACATGAAGAACATCCRTGTTGGTTTCACCTACACAGGACACACACCTGTTTGCTGATGCTCAAACTTAATTTCAGGTTTGGTTTGACATTGGTTTGGGGATCTAAAATTGCACTCAGAAGCAGAGAACACAAAAAATCTCCTATTTCTCCAGTTCTGCTCAGAACTAGTACACAGGTACCTGCACAGGACCACACTCACATATAGTCACAGCTGGGTCTCTGTGCAGATGATATAAAACAAGAATTTCCAAGGACTGAGACAAATAATATGTTAAACATCACTAAAAAAATATGATATTCTGTTAAAAAGAGTACTCAAAACAAAACTGCCTCTTTACCATATGCAAAGAACATACAATGAGAAAACGAATGCAAGCCAACCATTCTAACTATCCACAGCTAATTCTCAGATTAAGATTTTAACAGCGATATAATAATTAGAAATTAAAAATGGTCACAATCCTCTGTTTATTTAATACATTTAAAAGACATTAGAGAATAAACGCTCCCTAGAAAARAGCTAAATCTTACCTTTAGGTCTTTCTCAAGTCTGTCTACCTCAGCTCCCAATGTATCGATGATATTCTCACCATGCTTTAGCATGAAGGCTTCCAGCTCTTCAAGAGTCTTCACTTGTTGAATTTCCTAGCAAGATATAAAACTTAAGCTGAGATGGAGAAGAAAGGAACCCAAGAATCAAGCTGTCTAGAAGCTGTTTACACTACAGCATCTTGGTYATAGGGTTAAGTGGTAAAGCTGCAGTCTGAGACAAACAGGTTACTGCTAACAGACAGCACAAGCGCTAAATAATCATTTCTTTTTGCATACACAATTAGAAAATTCATTTTTTTCACATTTCTCTAACAGTGAAAAGAAAAAGAACATAACTGAGCGAGCTTAAAAATCTTCCAACTAAGCWAGAATTATAATCAGGGCAAGCCTATCAAGCTAAAGAAACAAGATTAACCTGAATGAGTGCATTCCAAGAAATATTTCACAACTCTGGAAAGAGGCAATGTTGATATCAACACAAGATAACCTATTTATGTATATATATAAATATTTCAAAAGGCAAGTATTATGTCTGTTCTTRACCATGGATGGATGAGTCCTGATGACCATCCTTCAGACAGGGTCTCACAGCAGACAAATGGTTACCAGGTGGAGATTCCACAAGATGCTGTCATATCTACTTTCCATTTTGAAAATGTTTATGAAGAGTAACAAAGTAAACAATATTGTAGCTACAAAAGTAAATGTATATAAGCCGCAGTTACTGGTAAAATTACATTCAAACTATATTKAAAACAGAGTCATACTCTTACTTAAGTTTGTTTAATTGTTAGCTGCCACTAAGTTACGTGACACAAGCAATCCATATTGAAGCTCAGTTTGAATGGCAGGATCTGTAAACCATAACACTGCATCTTCACTACCCAAGGAGATTGCCTCTGCCAAAACAGAGGCGACACGCTTCCAATTTCAACTAGACAGCATACATATTAATATATATTTATCGGAAAAAAATACGTTCCTACCAAAATGATCTCACACAAGCCTGTATTTTCTAAGARAAGGTTGAATTAAAACCTGCCTTCCTTCTAACCCAGGCCTTACTCAACCCCGAAGCACAGCAGCACAGAGCATGATAGCAGAGATATTTTACACATGGACAGTAAGCAAAAACCTCTGCAATCCTTCAAAATGAAGAGTGGAATATATCCCACCTGATGGAAAAACTTGCTTTGAACATAAYGGAATTGGGAAAGAAAAATCAAAACGCTGAAAATTGCAAAAACCCTTTATGAAACATACTTGTAGCARCTGTTCAATGTCTTGTTTTTCCAGGTAGGAACGAGTAACAACCCGTCCATCAAAATCTACTTCTGCCTTGAATCTCACTTTGCTCATTCCCATGTCTGTGGCTTTAACGTCATGAATTGCTCTGAAACACACAATATTTGAAGAATGTAAAACAACTGGGTAGTTTTAGAAGCCCACAGCCTTTGACTAACAAATCCTTACTATGTCACCACACTCTCACATTAAATACAGATTTTTATTTAGCTGGTTACATATTTCCACAGGTAACTGCTCAGCCAACACAGGTATCCCCCCACATCTATATTTAACTGAATTTGGTAAGAAAACAAAATTAAAAAGACATGGCAGATTTTGAAGTCAACTAATAGTTAAAAAAAAAAAAAAAACATACAAATACGTGTCACCATAAAACAAAAAAAGAAAATTTTCATAATTCTGAATTCAACAGTCTACTTATTTGTTTTTGCACACATTTTCCTTGCTTTCTCCTACAGCAGAACATAATGATAATTTCTTCCAGACTAAGAAATATATACATGCAATTATTTTAAAATCTAGTAATTTCTAATAAAATCTAGTTGAGAAAACACCTAAGTCTTACAAGTCCACAGGTAAATTGATCAAAATGTAAAAGCAGCCTTAGGGAGAAATACATGATGCTGAAAAGATTTCCTCATTTCYTAAGTCAAACAAAACAAAACAACACTCATATCCCCAGCCCAAGGTAGAAGTAAGAAGAAAAAAAAGGGGGGGAGTAAATATTTTTCCCCAAATATTCCTAATCTCAGTCAATGCTAATACATCTCAGTCAATGCTGTACACCACCCAGAATTCTAAGATCCAGACCAAGAATCTTATTAGAAGGGTCAATTCAACTGAGCACAAAGTATCGGGGCTGCTACTAAAGACTGCACTAAAGACAAATTGAGACATTCCAAGGAATCAGGCCAAACAATGGGATGGATCATATGCAGAGAACACTCAAGACACAGCCAATACTGAAGTCAAACAGTGTAATGGAAAGTACTTGAACATGCTTCAGCTTTTAGCCTTAAGAGAAATATTCATCTAAGCAGTTTACCATCACCCACTGCAAGAAATTTTACCTTAATTCATTTTTAAAAAATTAAGTTATTTTAAAAATATTTTTCTCCAGAAGGAGATGAGCTATATCTACTCTCTGAGAAATAACTGCTGTCAACAGTGGCACATAACACTAAATATATTTTGGGATAGAAGAAACTGTAGCATTCTAGGATTCCAAGCTGGGATAAAAAGCACGGATACGCTTTGGACAGAACAGCTACGAGTCAGTGCAAAAAGCCCTGTGAACTCCATTACTCTAAAACAACCCTGCTAACATGTGCTACCATTCAAACTAACGCGTGGCCATCTCAGCAGATCCAAGTTCCTGATGAGGCAAAGTTTTAACACAGGYCTATTCCAAAACAGGAATGCAGTTTATTACAACATGCTTCCACTAGCTTCTAGTCTGAACAGCACGTCGTTCATTCCAGTTGATTTATGCTACAATATAAACCTAAATAAAGTAGGTTGCTTTTAAATCAAGGTTAATAGGGCTAATGCTAGCTAAAATAGTTCCTTAAAAAGCCTTTTAAACAAGATTCCAGAATTGTGACAGCGTATGAGTTTACTGCACTCTAAATTGTAAATGTCCAAGGAAGCAGGGAAGAGAGCACAACGTTCATTCCCACACGGGAGGGATTTGCAGAAGCCTTTACACCATAACACAACTGCAGCACTTCCCTGWCAAGTGTTACATAATTCCAGAGACTGAATATTAATATTGTAAATAAACATGTAAGCATTAATAAACTATAAAAGCAACATTACAGTATCATTTTTTGTGCTTGCACTTCAGGCATTTAGAAATACACTTGAAGTGCAGATGGCCTCCTCACTAAGCTATATGTCAATTCCCATAATTAATAAAATTTCAAATACATTCTCACAATTACTTCCACTATGGAAAAACTGACTGATAGAAGTATTTGCTTATTATATTTTCTAGCATGTAATAACTAAGTTTCTAAATTTTTAATCCAGAAGATTCCATTCTCAAAAGCAAAGGAAAAAAAAAGATCTATTTCATATACAGTTCTTGAGGAAAAAAACATTTGAAAAGAATAATTCATTTTTGTTGTTATTAAGAGATTCTTAGTTGCCCAGACTCTTACCTTACGACAGGATCACTCTCCAGTAACTCAGTAAGTCGCTGCAGTTGTTCAGGCTGAATGGATTTTCCCAGCAGGGCTTCTGTATTAGTGTAGATGAGAAAGGCTGACACAGTTCCTAACAAAGTTCCAACACCTAGAGACCCCAAGCTGTCATAATAAGTGTTTCCTAAAATAAAGAAAGTTAATTTCACAGAGCATATCTAAAACATAGCAAGTAATATAAACTTCACACCTAAAGTACATGGGTTTTTTTCTTTTTAATTCATGTTTTGGAAATTCTGTACTTCACTACTGATGAGCAAACTAAGTTGGAAGAAAATAAGCCCTAAAAATAAAGTTTTGTGTCCCTCTCCCTCACTTAGAAAATATCATGCTCTCCTGTGTTCTGTAGGACTAATAAAGTAGTCCATTCTTCTGCCAGTTACTTAGAATCTAGAATATAGATTTAACTTTATGAATATAAAATTACATACACCTAAATTAGGTAGCAGGCACAATCGAAAGTCTGTTCTTTCATTAGCAAGACACCACTGTCTTATGAAGACAATTATATCCATCATTTTGATGGATGTATAGGACAGCCTTATGTGATTCTTCTGAACAACCTAAACTTTGCAAGTATTAATCACTTTTGGAAGGCAGAACTCGCATAATGGATGTTCTAAACATGTATTCACACATATTCAGATTTGTCATGAAATTACGGATGGGATTAAAAAAATCTTTATAAAGAACAAAACCTGTAAGTAACTCATTTAAAAACCCTCAGAGAAACAAAAACTAGCACCTTTATTTTTCTAAACAACTAAATAAAGCCAACACCTACAAAGGGACGAATGCTCCCTCCCTTTGGGAAAGCTTAGCTGGGCAGCTAGAGGCAGACTTTGGCAGCTCTGAGTCATTTGTCATATAGATCATCGTACAAGTTAAGTTTGCCACATCATCTTCAGATTAAAACAACTGCTCCTGAACAAAATACCATCATTCTGTACCTGAAAGAAGAACCACTTCCTTAAATCCTCCTCACMTACACATGGAGATACATACAGCTGAATAAGGCAGCTCCAATTATGTAATCCCATTAAGACAAAAAGTAATTTACATAAATTGACAATAATAAATATAAGATTTTTTTTCTTTTTTCTTTATTTAAGAAAATACTATCTTAGTATGCTTAACAAGTCTAAAGGAAATTGGACCCACTGGTATGCAGCAGGTCTTTCAAGCTTGATCCTACCAACTACAGACACATAAAAAAAAATTATTTTCAATTTAAAATATTTTCAGATTGTAAAAAAAGGGTGAAACAAAAAAAAAAAAAAGAAATATCACACAGTAAGCAGCGATGGAATGCAACCAAACACAGTGTTACTGCATGAAGCAGCTAAAGAGCAGAAAGAAGTACAATCACAGTGGAAGAGTTCTGCATAAACTCAAGTCTGCTTTAGTAGTAAATTATCCACCATGCACTGCAAACCATACAGCAATACACTTTATAAAATGTGTGMAACAAATAAATGTCTAGTTAAGAACTGAAGAATATTTGGCATCAATTTTCAAATGTTCTGCTAACAAAAGCAATGCTCTGGGCAGGGTGAGGCAGAAAAAGTAATGCTACGACAATAAGTCTAAAGAACAGTCATATATTTAAATCACAATAAGCCAAATAAAACACRTTTTGTGTTCAGATTATGCACAAGAGAGAATGTGCATGCAGCCTCTCGCATGTTGAGGAAGAATTTACCTGTCAAAGAAGTCAGACCCATACAGGTAGCAGCCACGGCCACGCTCAGAACTGCAGCAGCATCTTCCAGCAGCACCACGTTTGTACTAGGATCACGGCTCTGCACAACTGTAGTCAACAAGAATCACACTGCTGTAGAAATCTCAGGTCTCCACCACGTACAGTACTTTATAAGCTATACTGATATCAGCAAGTGAAGAGGAAAATTTTCTATAAGCATAAAAACTGTAAAAATTGAACTTTTACATAAGCGCACACTTTAAAGCATTCATAAATATACTGAGCAAGCGTCACACAACTTGTGGAAGCATCTCTAAAATATCTGAAAATCTAATGGGGAGTTTATCCTGAAGAATGCAAAACTACTTTAGTACAAGCCTCTAACCACTGCTACCTAAATCAATGGGGTTTTTATCTATCRAGTAAAATGGATTTTTTGCTAGAATAGAAAACATGGAATAAACAGGTCAAGGGAAGCAAAAACAAAATTTTCAAAAATTAAGCAAATACAGGTAAATAAATTCTTCTTAAGATAATCACATATCTTATTGCTGTAACAACACATACCATATTGATAAAATGAGAGACCCTTGGCTCGAGCACTCCTCCGAATTTCRTTTATGGCAACAAGAAGGGTAGCTGAAACAACACCAGAGTAGTTGCTGAAAACGGTTAGAGGTAAAATAATTTATGTTTCCATTTTGAAAGAGAAAATCTTTCCTTATATCATAGTAACAGGCCCATCCGGAAAGCCCTGGCTATCAATACTTTGAATAACGGCAGGGCATAAAGCTGTATCTACACCCACTTGCACACCTCCCTACACAAGCCAAAATAGTTTATTCACTGGTAGATTAATATAAAAAAAGGCACTGTACATACATTCTCAAATTATATTATTTTTATACTTTTTACTACACAGCAGATGAGGAATGGAAAAAAGTTTTCCCCAATACAACACAACTATCAGCAACAGAGCTCCAAACTTTTATGTTGTGTAAGCAAAGATCAATTACTGTAACTACTCAGATTATACTGCCACAGAGTGAATACATAAATAGAAATATTTCTTAGCACTGCATACCTCCTTCAGACACCAATGATCCTGCTAAGATGCAGTACGCCTATATAAAAAAAAAAAAAAAAAAAAGATATCTCTTAATTATTACATTATATACATCAAACTATACAATATGTATTGCAAAACACTATTGTTTTTTCTTGAAACATTCTCAATAAAGCTGGTTGGAATTAATTGTTTTGGGACTAAAAYTGACTCAAGAAGTGCATTTCATACTTCGCCACTACTTTCTATTAAGCCCATCAAGAATTATCTATAGGTGCAGTATCAAACAAGATTTGCTTACCCAGAGAAGAGATTCGATAGGATGAGGATGGAGTAAACCCATGATCCCATGATACCAAGAAAGTCCTGCACCCATCATGAAAATTCCTACCCCGCTAATCAGAGAGGCAATATAGCGCATATTTGTGAAACCATACCTAGACAAAAACACAGAAAGTGAGTTAAAAAACAAGATCCCAGGTTCACAAACACATCTACCACCTTTGCCATGAAGTTTTCGCACATCTGGAAAAGCAGGACCATGTAACTGGGCATTTACTTTAAAAAACAGCTGCTAAATCTAACAATCAAAAAAAAATCTGAAAAAAGAGATATTTAGTATAGACAAAGATATTTTTCTAATTCTTTTTCAAACAGCTGTTTAGATAGTTGTACTAGCTCTTGTACTCCTGTGTGGTACTAGCTCTTTCTTGTACAGAAATTGTGATATTTCTTAATGTAAAAAAAAAAAAAAAATCATTCTGGAGTTTAATGAATATGTTGCATTTACATTTTACTGAAATGTTACTTCTAAAGGAAAATTCTGGCCATTGTAAGTGGCTATTCTACATATGCTATTCCTTTAAATTAACATTATAAAACATGCGACACCTTCAGGTGGTTCAGCTAACTGCACATTTCAAACACATACAGTTTTAGGAGCACAGAGAAAAGCTAAAGCAATATTAAAGTGTACATTTATTCTTTTGTTTTGTATTAACTGCTACTAAGAACCATAGGGACATTTGGAAAGCAGTAGTAGAGAAGACTATTGAGGAAGAAGGGGAAAAAAGTAATGGGAGGAGATGTAATCAATATTTAGACAAATTTAACACATTTCTTATATTACCTGATGCTCTTAAAGAAGAAAAGCTGATCTAATTCTTTAAGTCAGATATACTTTAACCTATTGCTTATAGCATGAATTACTTGTCCAGTCAAAAATGTGAAAATTAAAGTACATAATCTCCAATAAAATATCACAAAAATGAMAACTTTAGCCTTCCACAAAACTGTATGAAGGTATCAGTAAAAATCTCTATTACTGGGACAAACAAACAAAAAAGTACTTCTGTCAAATAGATCTTACTTGTATCAAATGATATAAAAGATATAAGTATCAAATGATACAAGTGATTTTGTTGCAGAAAAAAAAATAAACAGGATAGTAATATTTTAAGAACTTGATCTTCATGTAGAGAATACTTAAAATCAAAGAAATATTTAAGAACTAAGTGAATCTATCTAATAGAAATRTCCAGAATAACTTTAATGAATAATACCAATGCAAACTAAAAGCATAGCAAACCAAGTCACAAAATATAAGTACATTAAGACATTGAAATTAAAACTCCTGCAATTTGGCAGATTGCCCACTTTTCCTATCATTTCTTTTGTAAAGACAGGGCAAAAAAAAAAAAAAGAAATGACATGAAACAGAAAATTAAGAAAGAACAGGGAGAAGCACATGAAAAAAAAATCAACCTTACTCCTATATGTAAATACTAAAACCATTATTTACAGCAAAAGCTTACGGATGACTAGGGTCAGGTGTCCTTGCAGACTGACTGATGCCCAAAGCTAGTAACGCCTAAGTAGGACAAAAGGAAAAATGATCAGTTGAAATACATAGGAAACATTGACTGAAGTTGATAAAAAGATAAATAAAATCAGATGTAACTTGCTTATTTGCGTATGTGCTTTGTTTCTGATGTTATGCTACAATTCAAATATTGTTCTCAAAATCTGTCTTCCARTATCTACCTTCCACACATCCATTAAGTGCAACTGTAAGAATCATAGAATCAGGKGAGGTTCAGGTTAGACACTAGGAAGAATTTCTACATGGAAAGAGTGGTGAAGCAGTGGAACAGGCTGCCCAGGAAGTGATGGTGTCCCGTCCCTGGCAGTGTTCAAGAAACACGTAGATGAGGCGCTCAGGGACATGGTTTAGCAGGCAGGGTCTTGAAGGGTTTATGGTTGGACTCTAGTTCTTGTAGGTCTTTTCTAACCATAATGATTCTATAATCTCACAAATATCATTTACAAAGCACACTCATAATAACAACAAAAAGTTCTGCCATGCACCTGAGACTCACTCAATAAAATACAAAAATCCTCTCATTTCTCTCTGCTTCTTAAAAACCATTTAGATACTAACAATCCCCAGTAGACTGAATTACTGTTTTCAATTGTAAAATGATTACTGTTAGTATTTATCTTTAAAAAAAATCACCTGGTTGCAAGTGTCTGCTAAAGAATGTATAGCTTCTGAAAACATACTTGCAGAACCTGTGTAAACCCAAGCAAGTAGTTTGAAGAAAAAATTCAATCCATTTCTGAAAACAAAGAAAAGAAATAAGTAAGTCAGAATATTTGTCCTTTAATATTAATTTTCAGCAAAACCGGAAGCATTGCATAACCATGCATTGCCTACCAGCAAGTGATGAAAAATATCAATTCATTACAGGCTATAAGAATATATAAACTGAGGAAGCTCAAATTCAGCCCATTTTCATACGAAGAAGTAGACAGTTTACTGAACTGCATTATTTTGAAGGCTGGGAGGTAGCAATTTTTGATGAAGGAGGTAGCAACAATTCTTTCTATACCACATTCCACCCAATTACCTCAAAGTGGTTGAAATTTTTTAAATTCAGTCTCTGTCTTCCAAAATGGGAGGAATTATCGGAATTTATAGGAGGAAAATAAAAAAATAATAACAATGAATAATCTATTCAGTCTGTTATAACACTAATCTACAACTGAATCTTCCTGTTTTAAGTTTCTTTCAACTCACAGCACAGAAAGAAAATAGGATTCATGACCACTCTTGACTTATTATTTTTCTTCTTCTCAATGTTGTATTGATGGAGTTGACATTATCTGAAGGTGCAATACACTTCCAGGGCCCCGTACATTCAGATGCTTTATTTCACTCATACGATTCTGTATGAGTGCATTTCTTTTCCAAAGAAGAAACCACACTAAGAGTTTCAAGTTTCAGGTTGAGCAACATTATTCACTCATTAGTGGTGCCGGTGGGTTGGAGATAGAAAGGTAGAAACATCAAGGGTGCTATATAATAATTAATAATTAATAATAATTAATATAATAATAATAAGGGTGTGTGGTACTATATACCACGCACACTTTTTGTTTTCTGTCTAAATAGATAACTGCTTTAGCACATCCATAAAATCACCTCAGTTATGTAGGATTCCAAAGAATTTGCTTGGTTAATGTTGTTCATTCCTATGTGACCAAAGAACAATGTTCCTGCATTTCTCTAACAGGGCTTGAAAGTTTCATTCCAGGACACACAATTCCGTTAACTCCATAGCTTCTACCAGTGCAGCTAACTGTATCTTCACAGTGGATCCAAAGGTAATAGGATAAAGTATAAAAATTTAAGAAAGATTCATCTTTCTTGATTCAAAACCAGTCTCCAAAAAAGCCCATATTGAGATCAGGGCCACAAGCAAAGTCTTGTATGTCTACACTGATGGTGGCCCTTGAAAATTCAATTATATTTCTAATCTTCTAGGAATAGTTCTAGGACATTCCTAGGCTTTTAGCAACTTCACARTTGCAGACTTGTAAGAAACATATCTCATATCACAACTCATATATATACACACACACACACACACTATTGTATAAATAACACACCCTGGAAACACATACTCTCCCCATTTTTACAATAATAAAAATCTTTTTTTTTTTTCACTTGCACATACAAAATATTAACTTTTTTGCACTTACATGCAAATAGCTACCATTACCACCTTTCCTGGTCCCTTGAGAAACATAGCTGCTGTACTGGAGCGTGGCTATGTAAGGAAATAAAAGATTATGAAAATAAGTTACTAAGCTAAACAACCAAATCTTGATATTATGAAGAATCCTTTTTTTTTATTATGAAGAAWTTTTTTATTAAAAAAAGAATTATAAAGAATTATTTTTATTTAAAAAAAAAGCCTTTAGAATTACACTCTATGGCCAATGTCAAGTTATAGCCCTTGAGGCATACTAGCATACTAGTTTACACCCAAACTTTATTGCAGTTAGGTCTCATATGTTACTCCAAAAAGGATAAAMAATCAAAACAGTGTCCAGCAGGGGCCACTACAACCACAAAGAGAACAGCAAGTCGTGCAGCAAAAAGATGAAGAAATTATTCTGTTATGACAAAACACCTGGATCCAGAGGATGGGTCGGCTTAAGGGAAGGGCCGTATGCAAAATTGTTAAAACCTTGCTTCAAGAGGACGCTTCACTTTTTCTAATTAACTATATTTTTTATACTTTGCATTATGTTAAAGTGTAACAACATTGAAGTACTTTTTTACATCTTAGTTATATATTACAAGCTACAGGCAGAATCACATGTACAGATGTAAGCTGCTGAAGATGACAACTGACAAAAACTTCCCAGTGTTCTGCACTCCCACAGTTAGAACCCGTTTAACCCAGGCTAATAACATTAACCACTGCTTTACAAACAGAAATAGAGCTAGTGTATTACAGTAATGATGAACTTTATGAGATTTTCAGTTACTTGGGCTTTTGTACCTGTTTCAATTCTTTCCTTAGAAAGGCAGCCCAGCACATCTTGTGGTATTTTCCTAGACAAGAACTTTTCTTACCTTAGTATTTCCAAAAAACTCCTTGTACTCCTTCAACAGCCTTTGGTTTCTAAACAGATCTGCAGCACAAAATTATCATCATGAATACTTACTAGCAATTGCAGTAGTTTAAGGAATTCAAGATCATTTTCTTTATACAGCAGCAATCTGCTGCTTATGCCTATTATACAAAGCTTACGCTTATGCTTATTATACAATATGTTATTATACAATATGTTATGTTAAAGCTAGACACTCCTATCAAACTAAAATCTCTCTGTTGATCTCCACTCAATACATTTTCTGACTATATCATAAAGAGAGTAAAATATAAGACAGTGATAGCACTCTAAGATCTTATCAGTGATCGATAATTCCAATYTTGGCTCTTCTCAATGAAATAACATATCATCACCATCTCATGGATTTCTAACATCACATTTTGTTGTTTACCTTTGAGATATTTTAAAAATTCTATACTCACTTTCTCTGTACTCGATCTCTGCCTCTTTACGACGTTTTCTTTCTCTAGCAAGAGCCTCATGACTACCCCAAACTTCAAGAGACCTGCACAGAGTAAAACAACAGTGGTTCTATTCATACAGGYTACAACTGATAAAGCAACACACCTGTAACTCTCTTCAAGTTTGACTATATAATCACAAACTTTCCTAAAAACAGAACATCATTCTTTCTGATAACCAAAAAGTCTACTTTGGAGAATAAAAAGCTTAGGGATGAGAAGTGCACRCATAAAACACACCCTTCAGTTTTGTATTCCCCATGTAGTTGTTATAATAACGGAGACATAAAGTTTGTTGCGATAAAAATGGAAAATACAATTGACCTTTTACGCTGTAAAACTGACTTTTAAAAATACTCTCTYTCATTAATCCAATTAGATGATACAACTATTCTGCATAATAATGTTCTTACTTTGCCTCTACATCCGATCTCAGGTACACAGTGAAAGTCTCGGTGTCATCATGGGGACTTCGTCGTTTAATTTTCCTCAGCTGGTCTAAATCACTAAGGAAAACAGACAGTTTAGTGAAAGAAAACATATTATTCTGATCCTATTTTTGAGTCTAAGTAGTCTTCCACAGTTCCAGTATATTTGACAGCACAGAAAACTCAAATTGTCTACTTCAGCCAAACAGAATGGACATGCAACATGAAGCAAGTTAATTCTAGGAAGCTCGAGTGTCATTTTTATTTTCCCACAATCACAAATTCAAATCATGTCCTAAAAGTTAAAAGTTATAGTAAAAGTTAACTAAAAGTTAAAAAACACTAAAAGTTAACARAGTTATCCTCAAAACCTATACACCCAGCTCCAACTACTCATTTCTGCAAATACAGCAAAACAATAATGATTCCCAGTAAATAAGGCCTGTTGGCAGGAATGGGACATAGTAAAAGAGGGAAATCAGGTAGCAGTAGTCAGGCTAAAATGAACCTTTTTCCTTTTTTTTTTTTTTTTTCCAAGACTACAGACCTCATCTTATACACAATCTGGTAAAGGATAATGAGATTTCAATATAACATACTAGAAAATTCAAACTTCCAGGGCTCTTCCAGGGATGTTCTGCACCTCAGACCACCCTGACCCCTGCAACTCAAACAGGAGTTATTTCCCACTCCCCTCCATAACTTACTGGAGACAGACTCCCCTCCAGTTCCCCTGAAACTAAATACATGCTCACATTCATATAAATAAGATGCTTGAAGGAGACACTGCAGGCTAAGTGCAAGGTCATAATCCACTGTAATAGCAAGGAAGCAGAGCTAATTTTAYCCATTATGATCACACATTCTGCAAAAGCATTTACAGGAGTTACTGTGATAAACTATGCTACAACAGTCAATACTTTTATAGCACATACAAGCACTCACAACTTAAAACTCCCGGATTTCCACACCACCATACCTGGATTTAAGACAGAACTCATTTATTGCTCTGACTCCAGTGATGAAGTTATTCTGTGTATATTTTGGTCCATATTCTCTCTTTTTAAGGACTGCTTTCACTTAAAAACAGAAAGAGATAAGCAGTTAAGTCATTCAAAAGACTACAGTAAAAACTTGAAAAGGCAATTCAATCTACTATCAAATCATGGTACCTCTAAGTGAAGAACTGGGATGGAAGACTTAAAATGAAGAAAAAAGAATGTCCTTGACAGTGGAAATAAATAAAAGGACTCCTCCAGCAGTGCAAAGAATGTCATTTTTAAGCTGAAAATGTTGCTTGCAAACAAAGTTTTAGTTCAAGGCCCTTGAATACCTCACACACCTACTGCTGCTGTCAGCTACCTCTCCAACCAAATGTCAGAAATGTTTTTGACTTCTAGAACAGCATTCATGTATGGCAGCTTGGAAACGCTTGCTCTGACAAGCACAATGGCATCTTAGAACTCCAGGGTTGTTTTTTCAGTACTTAAACAATTTCTGAATTCTTCTGCAGAGAAGAATTTTGATTCGCAGATCACATGAAGAACTCAGATTGGCTGCATGAATGTTTTTTCCTCAACTCTTACTTTCAAAACAGTCACACAATATTGAATATTCATAACAATTAAAATATACATGCTTTATTTATCTACAAAAGTTAGTCTTACCACACCAGATTTTTCTGTACAAGAAATAAAAGATTAACAGACTAACTTAAAAATAGGATGAGGAATTGCTCATGCCTTTGTTGCCTCCTTGTCTATACATACACAAAGCTTTAATTCATTTTCTAGTTTAACTCACTAATTTACTTTGGTTAAAAAAAGTTAAGATTAATAGAAAAAAAAAGTTAAAATAGCCGAAGAATGCAATATGAAAGAACTGACAATATCAAAAAACAGACAGCTCAAATTCTGCAGACAAAAAGATTCAGAGAGACTTCCTACCACAGGAGCTAARGGAGATACTCCTTCCTATTTAGTTCAAAACATCTCCTTGAGTTATAAGACACTTACAGAAGTAAATCTGCATTTAAAGATCTCAAGAACAATTTTTCACAGAATTCTGGTAATTTCTTATTTCTGAGTATTGAAAGCTTCAAGGCAACAGACATTGCCTAACACTCAACACCCCATGAACGTAACAAATAGCGGCATTTAGCAAGATAAYCTGATTTCTGTCATCCAGTTTGAACTTAAACAATTGTTTTCGAAGTATTTGARCAAACATATTCAACCCACAATATCCTGAAGTAAAAAGTGCCCCCCCCCCCCAAAAAAAAGATATTTCATAAAAATAGTTCATCATTCACTAAGGTAAAAACTGTATGAACATTCTTTAAATAGGAAAAATATACCCCTCTTTTTCTTATTTTAAACATCCATATATATCTGAGGTGTCCTAACCTTACCAAATATTAACTGGTGGATTTATTGAACACTTCCTAATCCATTTTTCAGAAATGTAAGTAAGTTTCACTGAACAAAAATACTGTTAATACTATTTAACATAGTAGGAGATCTCAACAGTCCTACCCGAAAGTTCAAACATAAAAGTATATCCATTTCCATTATATAGACAAAAGCAAATACAARATAATGTAATTACAACACCTTAAACCACACAGATTAGGATTAGTATTCCTTGAAAATTATTATTTTAGCAATACTTGGAGCAATAAGTGTCTAAATCACAATGGTTTCTGAAGATTTGAATTTTTCTTTCTAAATACAATCAAAAATTTTGATACAAACACTCTTGCCTATGTGTCCATAATGTAGAAACAGACAAAAAGCCCTTTTCCCTAGAAGATGTATCTATTTTTACAATTACTTCACAGTCTTACGTTATCTAATTTCTCCTAATTGCCTGTGTGCTGCCCTTAGACACCTACATTTTAAGGACAGCAGACCCAAAGAAATCGATGTAAAGGATGCAGACAAAGACGTAAAAATAAATCCAGGAAGACACTGACATCAGCTTGTTAGTTACATGTACCGTTATTTGATGTTTCTTTTAAATGGAAAAGAGGCAGGAAAGGAATTTGACACAACTTAGAGCTTGATGAATCATGAGCAGAGGCTCAGATTTGAAGCCATTGCAAAGATTTTTTTTTTTTTTTCAGTAAGGAATTTAAAGGAAAATGAACATTTCTATTCTGGTGGATTTCTTCCCCACAGATACGATGCTAGAAGCAATTGCATGCAGGAGTTTTTAAAGGATTACTCCCACAAGAAGATAATAGAAATTAAAATTACAGATGGAAAGAAACCAAGTCATGATAAATCAAGAAACACAAATTTATCCTCTTCTTTTATCCATTTCTATGTTTTTAAATAATGTAGCTGAAGACATAAAAGTCTGTATTTATTGCAGGCCCGAATGGAAACCTTACAGGGCTCTGATTAGGTCGCCGGAATATATTTAGAAGCAACACTGATTAGATTAACTCAGCAATAAGAAGGAAGATGGAAAGACTTAGAAGGAGGAGTAGGGGAAGAGCAAGTGTTCAGTTTGGCCCCACCAGCCCRAGATGGTGAACGGACATGGTTAAAAAGATGCAAGGCGGACGGGCTTTGCTAACACATGGGAAGGCAAATTAGTCTTCCCATAATCAGTTTAAAGAAATAATTAAAAGACAATCATTGTAGGGTAAACAGTTAGGGGATTAGTGCTATACTTTCTTTTTTTTAAAGAGAGAGAGACATTTTAAAACAAAATTGACTCACAAATGTTTCTTAAAAACTGAGTCATGTAATTTTTTATTTAATCAAAGTAACTGGTTAATAGCAGACAGCAGTGAAATTACGACACAGGAAGTAGTTCTTTACCTTTCACTTGAATTGGCTCTTTCAGAAAAGATTGCTTTTGACCTGCACTGACGGCATCTTGTCCTGTAAAATAAAAATAAAAGTTATTGCCTGTATGGAGATATCTATTTTTTTAAGAGTTTGTTTGGCAAGACAAAAATCACAATACAGCTTAATAGAGCTTTCCATCATGACAATTAACAAATTTTATACTAGATCTTCAACATTTAAAACACATGAAACACGAGAGTTAAATAATAAGACATTTAACTTTGCATGGATGACTAAATTTCTAACAACTTGCAAAACAGTGCAAATCTGCAACATGTTACAGAAAGACCCAGAAATTAAATAAAACAGCAGACCAAAGTATGCATTTGTAGTGTGGAAGAATATTTAGATGAATAAGCATAATGCATCCTGTGCAGTTTGTGACAGATCATCACCACAAATTCATACACTTTTTAATATGCAATTCAATTATGAGAAGTTGAAGCTTAAGATACATCTGTAAATAATATCACAAACTGGAATTATTTCTAAACTAAAGAATTTTTTTTTTTAATTTGAGGTTGTGATCAATAAAACATGCACACTTATTTTTTACAGAAAACATAAAAATGTTTAAAATATCATGAAGTAAATTTTCATATGTGGAAATTCTTGTATTTCAGCAATTTATTTGAGATTTTTAATCACAAACTAGAAATGCCACTAATTCAGACAAATGTTGCATGTTGGTTTAATGCCTATCACCAGAGCCTTCAGAACAGAAACCTTAYGATTCTAGTATCTAGAACCAACACACTCCTCCTTTTGTGCTCTAACACTGGGGGTTTGCCAAGCACCTGCAGTCATTAACAAAGCTAACCTTGCTGAGAACGATACTCATAACTTGAGGATTCTTCAAGTACATTTGTGTTGCCTAATGTGGTACGTTTAGCTTAACAGGTGATGTGATCTACTCATCAGCCTCATAGTCTTGTAAGGTTACGGTACAAAACTACATTTCTCACTGGGCAATTAGCAATGACTGTAAAAGCAACTGAGAATTAACAGTACTGACCATAAAAAAATGCACATGCTTTGAAAATTATAAGAGTAACAAAAACACTTACAAAATTTATGAAATTAATTTTACCATGCAGCAAAAAAAAGGCTGAACTATAAACAATCTGTCTTTCCAAAACAGTCATCCTGATCAGCTATTGTTTGACTTGAACAGTCAAAAAACAACAAAAAATCTTTTTTTTTAAGAAAAAAACTTTTTCTTTTCTATTCACTTTTTAGCAAGTTTAAAGTATTTGTCAGTACAATTATCATTCTTCACAACAACAGACCTCAACCAAGATGGCTTAGGAAAAAAAAAGTGTGAAAATGTGACAAGTCATTGTCACATGTCAAAATGTGACAAGTCCAGCATTTCAGAAACTCTGTATGCAACCTCACCAAAACATATCAGACCAACTCCATTTAACATAAGGTTAAGTCATAAAGTTTCAGAGAAAAAAAAGTCATAGATCAAATACCAAGATTTATATCTAAGCACTGAGATCACATTAAGTTCCTGTTGGTATTTTACTACCTTGGCCTAGAGGCTAGAAGGAAAAAAATATCCTCCCATGTAAAGCGTGGGCACCATAAAATTCATTCCAAAGCAAAGGTGAAAGCAACAGTTCATCTGTCCCTGATATCTCTGCAGGTCCATGCAGGCTTGCAAGTGTCCCCGGCCACCAGCACCAAGCAGCCCCGATGGCAGCTGCTGCCCTGGTGGCCCCGAGCATCATGAAGAGCAGTGTCCTCAGGACGGGGCTCGGGATCGGCCTGCTCATCTACCCCAGCACTAACTCCCCAAAATGAGGAAAACCAGCAAACCCCATCACGAATGACACACAGGAGAGGATAATTCCAGAAGGATGAGAAAAGGTGGGAACACTGCTCTAGTGACCGCTTTAAAGGACRCTGTCCGGTAACTGTATATTCTTAACCTTGGAAATATCAACTATTACAAATTACTCTGYAGTCTCTATATAACTGGGCAGATGTCTCTGCTAGATTCTCCCTCCAGCAGCCACTGTCAGCTAAAGACTTTCTAAGTTTCTCGTATTTTTTTTATGCTTCTAAGAAACATAAACAGTGTCAGTGAATATGCTCCTCTGAATTTCAACTGCATCTCYGAAACAGTATCTCTTTCTAGAAACAATATCTGTCAGAATTACAGCAAAATTTAATACCTACCTTTGCACTTCCAACATTTTTTATCTACCTTATACTTCCAAACTACTTTTGCACAGAAAAGTAACTCTCCGGTGATTACTTTTGCTAGCTTTTAAAGACTGCTTGCACAAAGACCTATGTGCAAGAACTAATACCTGCTAACCTACCTAATAACAGAGAAGATTGTTTTAATTTAATGAGCCATTCAGTTTTAAAGAGACGCACTCTGTACCATCAGCGCCAATTCCATACTGTAAAATTAAACCCTACATTTAAAGGCATGTCATTCCTCCCTACTTATACATTTGACATTTACACATGTCATGTTCAGAAGTCACAAAGATTGAAAGTTCTGAAGCTGCACTGTGAAAGAGAAAAAAATGCATCTATTGTTACTTAAGTTTTTACATTTAGATTAATAAAACACTCTTTACTTTAGCCTTAGCCCAGTGAAAACCAAAGCACAGACAGACCTGTTGCACCTTTGGGCACAGTGTCTTGAGCGCTTGACACATTTGTATCCTCTGATCCGAGATCTTTTTTCTGACCGTTAGAGGTGTAAACTCTCACTTGGCTCATGAGCTGCACAGGCAGACGATTGCAAGGAAGAASGTAAGAAAGACTCCCACTTTTCACTGAAGTCTGCCATCCTAAGAGAGAAAAGGGGGAAAAAAATGTTTGTTTCAGATAAATCACTTTCAAAGGAAAAAGAAGTGATTGACTGAAAGTGACTGAAGTCCATTGATTCAAAAAAAACAAACTACCAYGCGTAACTATCAGCCAGGGCTAAAACTGCATTTCATGCTGCATATGCTCCAATTAATTCTTTACTGCAGAGCACGATTTAAGATCAATTTACTAAAACGGTAACTTACAAAAATACACCACACTTTGTAAAATGTCTTACGCAGAACAATCTCAGGTCTCTATACCACCTTTATGAGTTACAATATAAAGTTGTAAGAAGTCAATCAAGGCACCAGCCTTGCTAGGCAGCRCCTAGTCTTAGTTGGCTGTGGAGGGCAGAGCCGCATGCGGATTTGGCCAGCGGGAGCTAGCGAGAGGTTTCCTTCAGGCACGTACACTTGTGCAGGGCCTGCAAACCTGAATTTCCAGCCTGAAACGCCGCATTRCTCTGGAAAGCGCGAATTAAAAGAGTCAGCAAACCCAAAAGGTCAAACAACGCTGGTGAATGAGGTCAGGTGAGGGGGGTTCGGTAAGGCCGCGTACTGCACAGGGGCGCCCGGCGCGGCGGCCGCAGGGCGCGTGGGGCCGGTCCCGGCCTCCGTGGGGACCAGGCCCGTGGGGAGAGGCGCGAGGGGCTCCGGGGCGCAGACGCCCCGCGGAGCAGCCAGGGGCCCGGCAGGCCGCCCCGCGCCGGAGGCGGCTGTAAATACGGGCACGGATCGGTCCGTGCTGGCTCCCGAGCTGCGCTGGGGGTGCAGGAGCAGCTGGAAACGGAAACCTAATTAATCACCTAATTAATCAGCACACTCAGCAGCCCGGCACAGGGCACGTACGCAGGGCGCAGGATTCAGGTGTTCACTGCAGCTTGGCTACCAGTGCTGGTACGAAGAGGCACAAGGGCCGACACAAGTGCAACATCGTGGGATCCTGGGCCTAGGGAAAGGGCCGGGGCTTTGCAAACGGATAAACCCCCCCCCCAGGTGCCCGTTTCCTTCCTCGCTCATCACCACCCTCCCCTCTAACGCAAACGCTTTAAGTAACGTTATGCAAGGGCCTGGCAGGGYTCGGGCCGAGGCCTCCAAAACCCAAAGGCCGCGCGGGGCAGGGGCCCGCTCCCGGCGGCGGCCGGGCACGACGGCCACGCGAGGGCAGCGGGACGGGCCGCGCGGCTCCCACTCACCGTGGCCGGCGCGCGCCGCCCGGCAGCGCACGTAGAGGCGGTAGAGGCCGCGGCGC